ACACACACACACACACACACACACACAAACACACACACACCCGCACACATTATTATGTAAATGTTTGTACGTTCCCACACCTGTGTCCTTGTGAATGTGTCATTACTTTTAGTCTGTCTGATACATGTTGATACATGTCAACTAATAGCTTAGTGTTAGTGTTAATGTTCTTTACTTCCTGCTTTGTTAATTTGCACCTGTCGTTTAACTAAAAAAATTTTGTGCATTACCGTTCAAACATTAATGACTTAAGCGCGGATAAATAACTGTCATATAGAGCCAATTCTTTGGACTTGAATGATTAGGATTTTATTGTTTTTTTATGGGTTGAATGTCTTTTTATGCAAGAGATCGGCTTTAGTAAATAAAGAGAAACGTATGAACAAGATAGAAGTCATAATTGTATTATTTTAGGGGTTATAATATTGGTTTTTGGAAACAGATTGAACGCTCTGCATTACGTTCTTCAGTTTACTTTGAGGTAAAAGAAGTTCATCGGTACTAGGTCTATATAGCCGTTATTTGGTGTTAGTTGTTTGATCGCTATGATAAAATTTATATTGTTTTTTTTAGATAGGATGAACGCTCTTCTGCACGCAAGTTTGGCTTACGTTTAGTAAGGAGAAAAGAGGGGTCTGTTACTGACCGTTATTTGGAACTCGCTGTTTTATTTAAATAATGAAGATTTTGTTCCTTTAAAAAGAGAACATGTTGAAAGTTCTGCCACTCAAAAGCCTTGTTTTAACTTGGTTTTTAACAAAGAGAGGAATGTATGGATTTCTTTTTTAATCAGCTTGAAAGATGGTGTTTATCGTTAAGATATGTCTCTAAGTGCTGTAGAGCTTTCAATCTGTTTACAAAAAACAAAAGCAAAAAACAAAACAAAAAAACACATAAAAAACAACAACAACCAAACAAAACACCCCCAAAACGTCATCACAATCCTTAATCCACACCCCCCCCCTCCAAAAATAAATTAAATAAAACCCCTCATTTCGTGGATGTACTCGTTATTCCAATGAAATAAAAACCAAGTTGGTGAATAGTAGAAGCTTTCAACATATCAAGGACAAAGTATCTGGCTGGATGGATAGAGTTAAAAAGGTCCTGGAAGAACATAACATATCTATCACAGACGCTACCCACCTATTTACTTTTAATCTCCTTGACCTCCCCTCAACATTCTAAGGATACCAGAGGAAGGAAAAAGTAAATAAGGAGTAAGGACAAAGTAATTTAATACTATAAAAACTAAAACGACTAATAAATCTGGTGCCCACACCCTTCCCAGTATTTAAAAAAAAAAAAATTCACATTCAGAACTGAGCTCAGTAGAACTGTGGGTTTAGTAGGTTCCATTAAAAAATAATACACAATAGTATCCATTCAGTCGCTTACTTAGAAAAAGCGATAACATTCTTCAAATAAAACAGTAGTAGGCGGTCTCTTTATCAAACTATCAAGTCCTATAGATGAAACAAAAGGTTGGCTATTGATCAACGATAAAATGCTGTAAATGAAACAACACAATAACCATGTACTAATAACAACAATAACATTCTACAAATGAAACAAGTAGGCTGGCTATTCATCAACGGCAAAATGCTGTAACTGAAACAACATATCAATACATGTACACATAAGCTGGCTATTCATCAGCTATTTGGTTAATCATCACATCCTCTGCATAGCCCGACAAGCAGACAGACGGACAGACAGACAGACAGACAAACGTGCGCGTCCATAGCGATCAGTGCGGCGGTGACAGAAGTCGTGACGTGTCCTTATCGACAACACCACACAGCGGCCGTCCGTCTGTCGTCTGCTGTGCTCGCTCCCAGGCCACGTATAAAAGCGCGCGCTGCAGTATTCTCTGATAGTCTCGATGGTCGTTGACTGACTAGGTGATTACCCGAGCGGGAACTTAGAACAGCTACGCTAAAACAACCAACACTTTTTACTGTCACTACTATTACTTCTACTACTATTACTGCTACCACTGTTATCACCGTCATCATCATCATCATCGTCATCGTCGTCATTATCTTCATCGTCATCAGCTGTAGAAGTTGTGTCGTTGTTGTTGTGGCTCTATGTTCATGAGGGCGCTGTTGTATGTGTGCGTGTGTGTGTGTGTGTGTGTGTGTGTGTGTGTGTGTGTGTGTGTGTGTGTGTGTGTGTGTATGGGGTGTGTCTGTGTTTCC